GTATATGGAAAGCAATAAATTGTGGGAATTAAAATTATACGCTATTATAAAAGTATTCGGGAATGGGGGTATGATTGTTACAAATGGGGATGAATCCAAATATCAAGCAATACAACCAAATCGAATTGTTGTGTGATTTAATATAAAGCTATGTCAATTTATGAAAATAAAATCAACAAAGTATGAGATGTATGTATTTACTTGAAAAGAGAAAAATAAAACCTATTCTAAAAAGAAATTGATTAAAATTAACATCTTTATTATTTTTTTTTGTATTTTTATTAATTAAAAAAAAGTTTAAAGAAAGAAAACTAACTAAATTAATGTTTTTGATATTTTATTAAATGTAGAAAATTAATAAAAATAAAAAGTTTATAAAAAATGATAGAAATTAAACACTAAAATCCTAACTTAAATTAATAAAAGTGTTTTAAACCTTATTTAGCATTTCCAAAACAAACAAAAAAAAATTAAAGAAGAAGCAAATATGGGCTTAGGAGTTTCTAGGAATGTTAGGCCCAAAGAAAAGGGATGTTTGCTGTTAACAAAAACAAGTCAGATGGGGGTGGGTTACTAGAAAAATGCGTGTGGGCCTGAGAAGTTTGTAAGCAAAAGGGCCCAATTCTTCTTAACTCAATCTAATGTGTTTGATTAGGGATGCAAAAACAAAATTAGGGCTTGACCCCTTTGTACAGAGCGGCGTCGTTGTCTCCTTCGCTCATCCATCTCTTCCATACTTCACTCATCTTTCCACCTCTGAAATCTCTCAAACTCTTAAGCTCATGGCCGAAACACCCTAATCCCTCCTCATCTCATCGTGATTCGCGTTTCTATGAAAACCGTAAGGTCGGATTCATGCCTAATTTGTTCGATTATAGCTTATCTGATCTCCCCCCCCCCCCCCCCCCCCCCCAAGGTTTTGTTGCTGGAGCTCTCTTTCTCTCACCTCCTAACGATTTTCAGTGGTTTTATTTCTTGAAAAAAGGTTAGGTTCTTTTTTGTTTAAAGCTTACAGTTTTATCATTTTTTGTCTTGTTCATGCTCTTCTGTTAATCTACTAGCTGTTCATTTGAGATGTAGTAAATAGTTTGTAAGGAGGGTGAAGAAGCCATACCTGCTTAGGGCTTTTCCGTGAAGTGAACGGGGACGGTGAGATCGAAGGAAATGCTCCTTGGTGGCGGAATTGGCGAGGGGGAAGAGATGATGACGAAAGTGCTAGGGTTTCTGGTAACCTTTTTATATCCTCTTTGCTTTTAATGATGATGATGTTGTTTGATGGACTTTGTGATTTTTGTGTTGTTATGTCAGTTTGAAACTTTGTTGGTTTTCCTTTTTTGATTTGTTGGGTATCTGGGATGATGTTACTGAGCTTTTGTTTATTGGATGTTGGGATGATTTTGATAGTTTTGGAAGTTTGGTTTGAACTGGTTTGATGGATGATGGTTGTTATAGTTTGCAGGTTTGAGATTTCTTGTGGTTTGTTGTTACAGTTTGCAGGCTTTGTGAGTTTGACAGTATTTTTGAAGGTTGTGTTTTATTGGCTTGAGATTAGGCTTGGGACTTTCTTTTGACAGTGCAAGCCTTGTGAGTTTGTGATTTTTTTTGTTGATGGTTTTGGAATTTTACTGGTTTTTTGCTACAATTGAAGGTTGGTTTGAGGGTTCTGGCTGTTTGATGATGTTTCTGGGAGTTTTGGCTTTTGGAGACTGTTTTGGATTTTGATAGTTTTGTTGTTTTGGATCTTTGACAGTTTTGTTGTTTTGGATTTTTGGCTTGCTGTTGCTACAGATTTGGTGTTGAAAATGGTTTTTGAGGTTTGAAATGTTGGTTGTATATTTCAGCAGGTTTTGATGCTTTTGGACTTTGATAGTTTTTTTTGGACTTTGATAAAATTCTGAGTTTTTTTAGGATTTCTCCCCCTCTTCTTGAGAATTGTATATTGTTATATTAGTTGCTCTTTGTTTGACAGCTTATTCAAAATGGTGGGAAAACCACCAAATTTTGAATACTTTGGCATGTTCTCCTTATGCTCTTTTCCTTGCAGTTTTGTTTTCTAGCAATTCTGGTGTAATTGTGACAGCAGGGCAGCATCCCTAGGTGACTTCTTTCCTCTCTCTCTCTCAATGACCCTAAGCCAAATGCTTTTTTTTCTGAAAAGTTTGCAATAAAAGGAAAATGATGAAAATGCCTATTGAACAAGCCTCTTGCTTGTTGACTTGGTTATTATACTGTTATACTTCTTTGTTGCCTGCTTCCTACTGCTATGTTGCTGCTTGTATTTTGTTTTGCCATGCTGCTGCATTCAGTTTGGACTATTTGTTTTGTCCAGCTTGCTTGCATTGTTTGTTTGGTGATGCGCTGCTTGTTTGGCCCTGTTTTGCGCCTTCTGTTTGTTATATTGTTTGGCTGCTGTTTGCATTTGGCTTGTTTGGATAGTTTGCTTACATTTCCCTTGTTTGGATAGTTTGCTTACATCTCCTATTTCTTCTTTTTGTGAACCAAGAGGAATAATTCTCTTGTGATTTACAAATAGAGCAAAATAAAAAATGTGATGAAATAAAAAATAGCCTTTTGATTCCAAATTGCAAACTTTAATGATGAACATTTTCTCTTTCTTTTGAAAAATCTTGCTTATGCCCAAATAGTTTTTGTACTGACTATTTTTCTGTCTTTCATTTTCATGTGAGCACAACTGGATGGTGGCCAAGCATGGGAAGCAAGATACTCTGCGGCAAGCATGGAAGCAAAGGAAGCTCAGTCAACCTTAGGCATAGATTCACTTTCTTTGTAATTTAGAGAGAAACATTCAATCAATTGTACTAATTTATTTTTCAAATACGATAAGTTGTAAAACCTAAAGCATTTAAATAATAAATTATTTTGTAACAACTTTTGGAATAAATGGAGAAAGTCTTATGAGATATTATGATGTCCATAAAAGTCCTTTACTGTCAATAACTCGCAATTTTCTCTTTGCATCTTCACTGATTCTTAAAGATTCCCGATCAAGATAATTGAAACTGCATTCCAATAATTCCAATCAAGATAGCTTAAATTCCAATAATCATGTAATCTTGCCACTGCATTCCAAACAAACACGCACTGTGTATTCCATAAACAAACAAATGTTTATTCCATAAACAAGCAAATGTTTTAAAAGACGCAAATTATCCGGTTAATCTGGATCAAACAAAACATGAATGTTCCAAATGACAGTCTTAGATCCCACCTCTCGTCCCAAATAAACATGCCTTAAGAATAAACAGTAACCTTTCAGTAAACTTGAAAAAGCATGAAAACATGTGAAAGCCAATTGGATCTTTGTGAATTCATTTCTTCTGAGAATTGCAAGTAAAACCCTAATTGCTGGTTTACTGCTACAGAAGAAAATTTGTCTGATCGATTCCTAATCCAACTTGAACATCTGAGAAACCCTAGGGTTGTGCTTTCTGTGAAAAATGGGAGGGAAATTTTTGGGGTACAACAACATCCAATTATCTTCTTATGTTTCTTTAATACCTGCAACACTTTTTGTTCATTTAAATCTGCAACATCAACTTTGTCAGTAAAAATCTCATAAGAAATATCAACCTTTAAGGCAGCTTCAATTTCAGCACAAACTGAACATAAGTGAGTATTAGTGCAAACATCACAAGTATAAGTGTCATCAAAATCATACAAAGAAGGGAAATCACCGAAAGTGTATCAAGTTCTCTTGAGGTTCTTTGTTTAGCCATGTTATAATAATTAAACTCAAAATCAGAATCAAGCAAATTATGAGAGAATAAGAATCAGCAATGAAACAACAAACACGAAAATACCAACAATATTCCTATTAAGTAAAATAATTGGAAGACACAAAAAACGAATAAAATAAAATAAAATAAATACAAAAACACTAAATTTAATCTAATTAAATCGAATTAGAATTTCACAAAAAAAATTGAATTTTTCTGAAACTATGTAAACAAAAATAAATTCATAAAGTATAGAAAAATAAGGAATTTGTGATTTTGAGGGTCAAAATCCTTTAGAAATACTGTTCGTCGGTTTTTTTCAGAATTTCTGGAAAAAATTCGGAGCAAATCAAAACAGTAGCTTCCAAACTTATCTGACAGGTTGAAATACTTACCACTATACTGCAACCGGTATTGCAACCTTGAAAATCAACAAACACAACAAAAATAAACAAGAAAGACACTAACAAGAACACTATACTTATGACTCTAAATCGGTTAATAACAACAAGAATCCCCGACAACGGCGTCAATCCATTGTCGCGCACGAAACAAAATGAGTTTTTTTTTTAAATGTAGTTTAGTGACAGTGACTCGAGTGTTGTCTCGCGAGGATTCTTGTATTGTTATTAACCAACAGAAAAGATTATGGGGGGTTTATTTCAGGATCAAATTTTAAAGAACCGAGAAAATAAGCGATTAAAATAAGTGATTATAAAAATAAGCTGATCTACTATTTTCAGGCTCCTGCTAATCATTAGTTTTTACCTTACCAATTCCCTAATTGGCTTATCTATTCAATTTCAATACCAATTGACAAGCGCAATAGATATAAAATAGATTGAATTCCCATTCCGAATTAAGCAAACGGATTAATACAATCGTAAATTAAGCAAACACGATATAGAACGTGATTTAACGACTAAGCGACGTAAACAACGATTAAATATTAGGAATACATTCATATGAATTTAATCAAGATATTCCATGAAATAATAGATTAAGCAAATACAATTTCATAAAATAGAATTGAAATAGAAACGAAATTGAATTGATAAATTAAAATCCTCAAAACGTCGGAACGCGATTACACTAGATCAACTCTGGATAATTAGTTCTCCATTCAAGCGTACAAGCAAAAGTATTTTTTTATCATGGAAAAGAATGTGAAAATACAGTACTGCGGATGATTACCCTTTTAACAGAATAAGGGTTTCAATTCTAATACAAATCGGGTCGAAAAACTTAACCCAAACCCAACAAATGACCTTAAACAACTTAATTTCTAAAGTCAGAAACTTCAACGAATTACTGGAAATAATGCATTATGAATCAACTTCTGACTCCAATGTGAAAGTTGTATCTTTTTCTCCCAACTTTCCAATGAATATTAGAACGCGTCGATCTGATTCTCATAGCTCAAGTTATGAGTTTTTTTCATTGAAAGTTGTTAATGCTGAAAATAAAATACAAAAATCAAATAAAGGAAAAAATAAAGTAAATTATAAAACATCCTAAAATAGAAAAATAAACAAAGTAAACTATGGAAATGCCTAAGTACAAACATAAGAGAATATGCATTAAAATGCATTGGTCAAAGACTCCATGTCAGAAGAGGATATCTTGAAATCATTGTTGTTCCAGATAGGGATCCCTCTCCTTATTCTAGAAAACCTTTGTCCCACTTTGCTAGAACCAATACTAGGCATATACCCTTGGATGAAATAATGTATCATTTTGGACTCTATGCTCGTAACTCTTTATGATTTGTCTTGAGAAGATTTGATTCGAGCAGGGATCCATAAATGGAAGATGATGTTTAGGACGGCTTCAGAAAATGGTTTAATATTAACTCCAGAATTATGCAAGCCTATTGTTCGTTTGAAGTTGTTAGGAAACACAAGGAATGGCTCAATGCTACAACCTCTGCAATTCCTCTGTATTTGCCTGCTCTAGAGGCTCTGGTTTATGAACTTGAACAACATGGTGTTATTTTCGTTGATACCTCAGAAGTTGATGCTTCTCCAACTTCTAGGTCTGATTTGGCTTTGGTTGATGGTCAACCCTCTAGTTCTAAGGGAAAACAAGCTATGGATGTTGAAGACCATCCAACTGGGCAGAAGGTTATTTTGGATAAACAGTAAGAAGACAATCGTTTCATCCATCAACGCTTGGATAAGCAGGATGAAAGGATTGATGCTCAAGAGGCTTCCTTCTGATGTGCTGATGGTCGGAAGACATGTTCTAAGAAATGGTCGAAAGAAATGGTCTAAGACATGTTCTAAGACATGGTCGAAATGCATTGTCTGAGGCATGTTCTAAGACATGGTCGAAAGACATGGTCTGAGACATGTTCTAAGACATATTCGAAAGACGTGGTCTGAGATGTGGTCAAAAGACATGTTTAAAGACATGGTCATTCAAGAAATGGTCCAGACGCTGAACCTTCTGATGACATGATGTTTTGCATCTTCTGATGGCATGATTCAGTTTTTAAAAGAAACAGTTAATTAGTTCAGATGTTTGATGCAAGTCATCAAGATAGTGACTAAACATGTTATGATACTTCATAGTGTTCTGATAGTAAGTCAGGTTTTGAGATAAAGACCAGTCATTTCTAGTCAGAATCTGATAAGACATCAATGGAGAAGTATTCCTTCTCTAATTACCTTTTGTACTGAATAACTCATTTTGTGAGTCTTGGGCTCAGGGGAAGACTCTAACTAAGCATAAATGGAATTTTGGGTATTAACAGATTTAGGGGGAACTTGTTAGCTTTTCTAAATGTACAAGGATAAAGATTGTTTCAGAGTTCTATTACTCATCATCATGCTTGTATAAAAGTGAAGTATCTTACTTATATATCAAGCAATGTCTAACTAACTTGAACATTAATCTAACTACTTGACAAATAACTAAAAGTTAGTTACAATCCAGTTAATCTATCTTATAAACTAGTTACTTTACATCAAACTATCTTAGTATCTTGCAACATGTCAAACTCTATGAATCTCCTTGGTATTTTTCGGATTCTTTGTGGCCTCTGGACTTGTACAGAATGTCCTTCTGATTCTGGAACCGTATCACCTTCTGGACTTCCTTCAGAAGTTGGACCATCTCCAAAAGTTCCACTTTCAGAAGGTCCATCTTCAGAAGCATGACCACCAGAGTCTTCACCACTAAATTCTGGATCATCATTCGAATCTGGATCAGAATCAGAATCACCTTCAGAATCGGAATCATCTTCTGACTCTAACTTATCTTCAAAGTCTTCTTCTGACTCTGACTCATCTTCAAAATCTTCAGAATTTGAACTATCTTTAGAAGTTACCTCAGGTGTTAACACTACACCAGAGTTGGACTAAAACTTACATTAATCTCATGTTTCTGACTCCTTCACAATGACATCTCTGCTGACTTCAACACCATAGTCATCTTTTAATTCTGACTCATCTTCAGAATCAGACTCGACTTTAAATTCAGAGTTATCTTCTGATTCTAACTTATATTCAGACTCTCCTTCAGAATCAAAAAACGTCAATCGCACAGGTTTCTCATCAGATTCATAAGCCATCAATATCACAGGTTCATAATTAGAATCTCCTCTGACTATATTTACTTCTTCTAACTTATTTTCTTTGTTTGACCAACAGTCCTTAGCAAATGGGTTAAACCTATTACAACAGTAACACTGAACCATTCTCTTGTCAAGCTTCTCCTTTCCCTAATGATATATTTTCTCATCGGAGTAGCAGGATTCTAACTTCTGAGAACCATCATGTCTTTTCTTGGCCTCTAACCAAGATTGCTTCTGGTACTTCTTGACAAAAGAAGATTTTTGTGTCTGCTCTACCTCTCTTTTAGAGGTTCTCTCAGTCAGACGCAACTCTTGTGCCTCTAAACTATTTTGCAGCTATTCAATTCTCATAGTGTTTAGATCTTTATAATGTTCAATTTCTACAATAATGTAATCAAATTGAGGAGTAAGATCTCAATACCTTCTCAATGATTACTTATTTAGAAAGAGTTTCTCCACGCGATTTCATCTCATTTGTGATCATAATCACTCTAGAGATCTAATTTGGTACCTTCTCATTATTCTTCATGTTGGGATTCTCATATTGCTTAGGTAGAGATTGAAGCTTCACCTAATTCACTAACGCATCATCGGTGTAGCACCCTATCAGTATGTCCCACGCAACCTTCGTTGTCATCGAATCAGCAATTTTCTCAAACAAATTGGCATCCACACACTGATTGATGTAGAACAATATTTTTTATCTTTCTTCCTCGTATATCTCTGCACGTTTCTCTGTTCCACTATCGCATTCACTGCAATTGGAACTTAACCTTCAGTAATAAGATCAAGAGCATCTTGAGCATCGAACAACACACGCGTTTGAATCATCCATCGATTTGAATTTTTTCCATCAAACACTGGAAGCTTTGTGTTCAAATTGTTTCCTCTGTTCATCTTCGTTCTTGTGCACTGAAACTCAAACAGGTCTCAGATCTCACCAAACATTTGTGTTTCTTGATCCCGCAAAATTAAGATATGCAATTATGTTACGATACCTATCGTGAATTTAACACTAACTCAAGAAAACGAAATCAATTACATACGCCTCGCGTACACTAGTGTTTCCTTGTGAATTGAACTAGAGCTCTAGAGATCAATTGTTGGTGCACAAAGTTGAAGATGAAGATGGAAGAAGAGAGAGAAAGAAAAGAGAGCGAAAATCAGTTACAACAAACTTGTTGAAAAAGAAACTCTATTATAAATTATTACAAAACCCTAGCTATAAACTTGTTTATATACACAAAATAAATTGGCACGTAGGCACAAACAAAAGTATGCTTAATAGTTAAGCTAACAACTAAGAGTAGCTCCTAGAAAGCATATAACTACTGATTCTAGCTAAATAGTCTCAAGCTTACAGCTTCTGACTAACACCATCAGAAGTTATTGTTTCTGACTAACTGACCCAGAATTTTCTAACTCGAACAACAACTTTTGAGTATGAATTACTTCTAACAACCTCTTATATCCTAATGTCTACCTCTTCTATCCTAATGTCTTCTGGTAAATTCGTAAAGTACCATGTCCTGATGTCCTTGCGTCCTTTGTATTTTCTTCCTCCGGTAACTCATCTAAACACATGCCTCTAATTCCTTCTCATTAACACTCTTTGTTTTTTTACTAGTGATTGCGATCAGTGTTTTAAAAATGACTGCGGTCGTGTCATAATAACGTAAAGGATTTTGCAATTTTCATCGGTGTAGGTATTGTAAAATTGGTTGCGGTCATCGTAGTGTGAATTAACCATAATTTATTTTTCAATATAGAAAACAATGATAACGCTATCAATATCAACATCTTCCAAAATTGTTTCGTCACCGTCGTTTTCAAGATCACGGACATTTTTTAAAACTCTAATTGCGATTGATCTTTTACATTAATCGTATTATTCATCTATTATAAGTGTTGTACTACATTTAAGAGGGGGTGGAGACAGTCTTATTAGACTATGCGATTGAATGCTTACAATGGAGTATTGAATAAAGTGTTAAAAGTTATATGGATTAATTAGTGTTAAAAACAATGTTGAATAATAATTTGCAAAATCTATTAGTTGTTGTGATTATTTAAATTTTAATTTATCTGAAATATTCAAAATTAATAATTTTATAGTAAATTAATTTTTTATTTATTTTTATTTTCACCAAAATTTCACTTTGAAAATAAACAAGTAAAAGTCTCTATTTTTATGTCAATCATTGACTTGCCCTTTATATTACTGTGCTTATGAAGAAAAGTAATTCTTCAATCAATGATATAACTATGTGCTTATGAAGAAAAGTAATTCTTCAATCAGTAATTATTCAAGAAAAGTCTCTATTTTTATGTCAATCATTGACTTGCCCTTTATATTACTGTGCTTATGCTGTGTATTATGTTTACAGAAACTATGAGCCGACAGCAGCATGGACTGGAGCACAAATTAAGGTACCTGTGAAGTTCATAACAGGTGATTTGGATTTAGTTTACACTACTTTTGGTTCGAAGCAATACATTGAGAATAGTAAATTCAAGAAAGATGTACCAAATTTGGAGGAAGTGGTAATACAAAAAGGTGTGGCTCACTTCAACAACCAAGAAGCTACCGAGGAAATCAGCTATCACATTCTTCAATTCATCAGGATATACTAGTTTTTTATAATTCATTTTCTTAATATTTCAGCTGAAATTTATGCTACTTTTATTATACTAGTAGTTGTGCGATTATGGAAACTTCTTTTATAATGAACTGAAAATTTCTGTCATGTTTATCTTTGCATTATCAATTACTTATCTCTATTCAATGGTCAAAATCATATAAGGACTATTTTTTGATGATACTCAAAAAGTGATACAGAACTATCACTCCTAGAAGATGATTGCAGTTAAGATGAGCAAA